ACCTGCATGGCCACGCTGCCTGACGTAAGATAGCTGTACTCTCAACAACGCTCTACTAATTTCAACCCTTTAATATATACCAGTAAAGTCGTAATTTATTGCATTAATTATTATTTCAGTTAAATATTATTCTTTTTACATTAGACAATGTGTGTATGTAATGTGTATATTTGTATTCAGATTCGTAGCTTTCTGCCCGATGTAAACAGCGACCCCCAGGAAATAGACATACCGTATTCCAATTTTGATTAGTATTGTGAATTATTATTATTATTATTATTATTATTACTATTATTATTATTATTATTATTATTATTATTATTATTATTATTATTATTATTATTATTATTATTATTATGTGAGCAAATTACCTGCAGGAGGTTTACAGGGCATTACCTGAATTTTTACCTGCAAGTAATTTGAGTGAGGTAAGTGGGACTTCGTCACAGCAAGTCGCCAAACTGTCACTCCTTCGAAGCCCACCCTCTACCACTCTCACAAAAAGCTAGACCTGGATCACACCACAATACCTGCCTAACACCTACACTCTACACTGGCCAGCTGGAGATGTAAGTGCAAGGACTAATGGTGCACTTCCCTGTGAGTGATGTTCGCTTCCCTTATCTTCTGCCATCAACACCCAGTTCTTGAGGTCCCGCAAATTTCTTGTCCCAATTCTTCAGCAGGGGATATTAACAAGGGTTCCTAATTACAAATTCAGGCCGAAAACCCCCAATTGACCTTCGAGAATGCCCGATCATATTGCACAACTTAGCCCAGTCTTCACGCATTATTAAATTCAATATGGTGTCTCTCCCCGGCGTCACTCCGCAGCTCCTCTGCACCCCCCCCTCACTCGAAATTTTCGAAGGGTCTAAATAGCATCACATTTTAATACATAATTATTATATTGTTCGTTTATATGTTCTACCTTTAGGAAATTATGTAAAAAAAAATTCCTCAGGTTTATCTGAATTTAACTTTATTTACATAGAGTACGATAAGTACACATTACGTCTGGCAAGGTAGAATATCGCTTAGTTCCTTAAAGCGTTGGTATCCACACGAAGGTAACTTAAATTACAAGATGGACCTATTATAAGCATATTAACCAACTCTTTTTAAAAGAAAATAAATAAATATATAGGAGGGTAGGAGAGTTTCAGTGGGGGGAAATAAATGGGATTAAATCTGGAGTATCTGAGAGAGTTAGAGCAAAGGAAGGGGTAGCAGTAATGTTAAATGATCAGTTATGGAAGGAGAAAAGAGAATATGAATGTGTAAATTCAAGAATTATGTGGATTAAAGTAAAGGTTGGATGCGAGAAGTGGGTCATAATAAGCGTGTATGCACCTGGAGAAGAGAGGAATGCAGAGGAGAGAGAGAGATTTTGGGAGATGTTAAGTGAATGTATAGGAGCCTTTGAACCAAGTGAGAGAGTAATTGTGGTAGGGGACTTGAATGCTAAAGTAGGAGAAACTTTTAGAGAGGGTGTGGTAGGTAAGTTTGGGGTGCCAGGTGTAAATGATAATGGGAGCCCTTTGATTGAACTTTGTATAGAAAGGGGTTTAGTTATAGGTAATACATATTTTAAGAAAAAGAGGATAAATAAGTATACACGATATGATGTAGGGCGAAATGACAGTAGTTTGTTGGATTATGTATTGGTAGATAAAAGACTGTTGAGTAGACTTCAGGATGTACATGTTTATAGAGGGGCCACAGATATATCAGATCACTTTCTAGTTGTAGCTACACTGAGAGTAAAAGGTAGATGGGATACAAGGAGAATAGAAGCATCAGGGAAGAGAGAGGTGAAGGTTTATAAACTAAAAGAGGAGGCAGTTAGGGTAAGATATAAACAGCTATTGGAGGATAGATGGGCTAATGAGAGCATAGGCAATGGGGTCGAAGAGGTATGGGGTAGGTTTTAAAAATGTAGTGTTAGAGTGTTCAGCAGAAGTTTGTGGTTACAGGAAAGTGGGTGCAGGAGGGAAGAGGAGCGATTGGTGGAATGATGATGTAAAGAGAGTAGTAAGGGAGAAAAAGTTAGCATATGAGAAGTTTTTACAAAGTAGAAGTGATGCAAGGAGGGAAGAGTATATGGAGAAAAAGAGAGAAGTTAAGAGAGTGGTGAAGCAATGTAAAAAGAGAGCAAATGAGAGAGTGGGTGAGATGTTATCAACAAATTTTGTTGAAAATAAGAAAAAGTTTTGGAGTGAGATTAACAAGTTAAGAAAGCCTAGAGAACAAATGGATTTGTCAGTTAAAAATAGGAGAGGAGAGTTATTAAATGGAGAGTTAGAGGTATTGGGAAGATGGAAGGAATATTTGAGGAATTGTTGAATGTTGATGAAGATAGGAAGCTGTGATTTCGTGTATAGGGCAAGGAGGAATAACATCTTGTAGGAGTGAGGAAGAGCCAGTTGTGAGTGTGGGGGAAGTTCGTGAGGCAGTAGGTAAAATGAAAGGGGTAAGGCAGCCGGGATTGATGGGATAAAGATAGAAATGTTAAAAGCAGGTGGGGATATAGTTTTGGAGTGGTTGGTGCAATTATTTAATAAATGTATGGAAGAGGGTAAGGTACCTAGGATTGGCAGAGAGCATGCATAGTTCCTTTGTTATAAAGGCAAAGGGGATAAAAGAGAGTGCAAAAATTATAGGGGATAAGTCTGTTGAGTGTACCTGGTAAAGTGTATGGTAGAGTTATAATTGAAAGAATTAAGAGTAAGACGGAGAATAGGATAGCAGATGAACAAGGAGGCTTTAGGAAAGGAAGGGGGTGTGTGGACCAGGTGTTTACAGTGAAACATATAAGTGAACAGTATTTAGATAAGGCTAAAGAGGTCTTTGTGGCATTTATGGATTTGGAAAAGGCGTATGACAGGGTGGATAGGGGGGCAATGTGGCAGATGTTGCAAGTGTATGGTGTAGGAGGTAGGTTACTGAAAGCAGTGAAGAGTTTTTACGAGGATAGTGAGGCTCAAGTTAGAGTATGTAGGAAAGAGGGAAATTTTTTCCCAGTAAAGTAGGCCTTAGACAAGGATGTGTGATGTCACCGTGGTTGTTTAATATATTTATAGATGGGGTTGTAAGAGAAGTAAATGCGAGGGTCTTGCAAGAGGCGTGGAGTTAAAAGATAAAGAATCACACACAAAGTGGGAGTTGTCACAGCTGCTCTTTGCTGATGACACTGTGCTCTTGGGAGATTCTGAAGAGAAGTTGCAGAGATTGGTGGATGAATTTGGTAGGGTGTGCAAAAGAAGAAAATTAAAGGTGAATACAGGAAAGAGTAAGGTTATGAGGATAACAAAAAGATTAGGTGATGAAAGATTGAATATCAGATTGGAGGGAGAGAGTATGGAGGAGGTGAACGTATTCAGATATTTGGGAGTGGGACGTGTCAGCGGATGGGTCTATGAAAGATGAGGTGAATCATAGAATTGATGAGGGAAAAAGAGTGAGTGGTGCACTTAGGAGTCTGTGGAGACAAAGAACTTTGTCCTTGGAGGCAAAGAGGGGAATGTATGAGAGTATAGTTTTACCAACGCTTATATGGGTGTGAAGCGTGGGTGATGAATGTTGCAGCAAGGAGAAGGCTGGAGGCAGTGGAGATGTCATGTCTGAGGGCAATGTGTGGTGTGAATATAATGCAGAGAATTCGTAGTTTGGAAGTTAGGAGGGGTGCGGGATTACCAAACTGTTGTCCAGAGGGCTGAGGAAGGGTTGTTGAGGTGGTTCGGACATGTAGAGAGAATGGAGCGAACAGAATGACTTCAAGAGTGTATCAGTCTGTAGTGGAAGGAAGGCGGGGTAGGGGTCGGCCTAGGAAGGGTTGGAGGGAGGGGGTAAAGGAGGTTTTGTGTGCGAGGGGCTTGGACTTCCAGCAGGCATGCGTGAGCGTGTTTGATAGGAGTGAATGGAGACAAATGGTTTTTAATACTTGACGTGCTGTTGGAGTGTGAGCAAAGTAACATTTAGAAGGGATTCAGGGAAACCGGCAGGCCGGACTTGAGTCTGGAGATGGGAAGTACAGTGCCTGCACTCTGAAGGAGGGGTGTTTTAAAGTTGCAGTTTAAAAACTGTAGTGTAAAGCACCCTTCTGGCAAGACAGTGATGGAGTGAATGATGGTGAAAGTTTTTCTTTTTCGGGCCACCCTGCCTTGGTGGGAATCGGCCGGTGTGATAATATATATATATATATATATATATATATATATATATATATATATATATATATATATATATATATATATATATATGCAGAACAACCGCTGTGAAAGAATAGAGAAATTCCAAGCGCTTTCGTGACTACTCACATTATCAAGGAACAATGTTCCTTGGTAATGTGAGTAGTCACGAAAGCGCTTGGAATTTCTCTATTCTTTCACAGTGGTTGTTCTGCATATTCTGAAATCACCTGTTTACTGTGATCTTATTGCATATATATATATATATATATATATTATATATATATATATATATATATATATATATATTATATATATACATATATATATACGTATATATATATATAAACCACCACGGGGGGAGTTGAAAGATAGCTCTAGGCCTTTCGTCTTGTAAACAACACATCATCAGAAGCTTGCAATTCTGCAGAAAAGAGGATGAGAACCAAGCAAACACGTTCAGAATGAGCGTTGTGTTCACTCTGAACAACTGTCAATGAACAGACAGAAGGATGGACGAGAAGGCTCCAACGTGATCATAAAACATAGAGGCAGTAGAGCGATGTACCTGGCAATTTTGTGGCCACGGTTCAAGCCTCTAGTCCATCTTTCTATATAGCATTTAGTTTTGAAATAAAAATCAACCTGAAGAGGTATCAGTGGATACCACGTCTAATTTCAGTTACAGCTTTACTAACTGCAGTGCAAATCTGGGATGATATTCTTGATGAGTACGACAACTGCGGCTGGTAGTGGAGTACCGTATGTGGGTTGCCCGGGGGTGCCAACCTCAGTCTTCCTCTAGCCTTGTGAGGGGGTGTATAGATTATTGTTGCTGCTGCTAGACTTATTATTTTTTTAAATGTTATACCTTAAACTAATTCTGCGATTATGTTTTGAAGATGAAAAGAACATGAGAAAATTCTCTTAAACAAAAAAAAAGGTGGGAAAAACAATGCTAGAAAAAATAATTTTGTTTCGAAGTGAATATAAAGTACAACTAAACAAATTACTAACAATTATCAAAAAAATTTGACTGTCATAACTAGCTAGAAAAAATAATTTTACGTTGAAATGAATAGAAAGTGCAACTGAAAGAAAATTATTCGTAATTATCAAAATTTTGACAGTCTTAAATTATCATTGTAAGAGGGAAAAAAAAAATTTTAAGTTCATCCTGGAGAGGATTTCTCTGTGGGAAAAATAAACTTTCTTATATATATTTTTTAAGCTTGTGATGAAGTGGAACTTAACAATGAGGAGATGGAGGTACAGTGACCAGGCCAACGCTTTACTAGGCCTCCTCAGGTAGGCCTACTCTTGATCCACGCCTCTTTAGGGGAGGATCCTTGATGCTGGTGAGGGGCTCTTGATCTAGGAAATTGGATCTGTGATCCAGTTCCCTGAATTAAACCTGAATACCTTCCATCCCCCCCAGGCGCTGTATAATCCCTATGAGTTTAGTGCTCCCCATGATAATAATCTTGATCCAGGAAGTCACCCTTCCCTCCCTAGGCCTCCTCAGGTAGGCTTACTGTCTCCCTTGATGCAAGAAATTTAACCCTTATTCGGATGCAGCGCCGTATAACTCTTAAGGGTTTAGCTCTTCGTTATGATTATAATAATTCTTCCTCGGATCAGCCCACTTTTGCTTCCATATAAATTCCTTTACTAAAATATCGAACATTAACTCCCATGCAAAATCAGCCTCAATCTTATTCTCCACATTTCTCAAGTTTCTCTCCACTCCCACGTTTTTTAACCCTATTATATAGAAGGTTTATCTACTATTAAACGTTTTCCCTGTCCTTTAAACGCTTTTTCCCCACCATTTAAAACTTTTCCATATTTCGACCTTTTTTGTCTACCATTCTGACATTTTTCCCATCATTTAATGTGTCTAATTAACTTTTGAATATTTCTTGGCTGCCAGTTTAGCATTTCTTAATACTTTAACTCTCCTCAGTACCTGGTGAATCAAAGCTGCTCCTGTCTCCCGCCTCAGGTACCTACCGTACGTGGCGTGCGTGGTGCTGCTGAAGGTGTACGTTATTATGCTGCTGGTCCACTCCAAGGACTACACTGAGGACCTCAGTGACTACGACGACTACACTCTTCGTCACGACCACCCGTCCCACAGGTTCTTCGATATTAATAATCTTTATTTACTACAAGTACATGATACAACTTATACAGACCATAGCTGATATCAATGACATACTACTATATAGAAAGATACTTGTTTTGCTGAGCATTTCCCGCAACTTAGGTCAATTTTGTCCCAGGATGCGACCCACACCAGTCGGTGTAGGTTTATTTAGGCACAAGTACACATACAGTATACACAAATTATCATACATAAGTAACTGTAAATTACCCAGGTGGGCGTGTTTTTAATTTAGAGTATGTTAGGGAGGTAGTGGAAAGTCTTCATCACCCTCCTCTGCAGAAGGCCTACTTTAGGTTAGATTAGGTAAGGTTCGTCAGGAAACAGGGCAAGTGTTTACTGACGCGGGTCTTAGTCATATGATGACCCGTAGCTGGAGCTTTTGGTTATCTGACCGACGCCTTCCGCTGGCTTACCCCAACACTCCCCTCAAGGAAGGTTCCTTGATGTTGGTGAGGGGCTCTTGATTTAGGGAATTGGATCTGTGCTCCAGTTCCCCGAATTAAGCCTGAATGCCTTCCACATCCCCCCCCCAGGTGCTGTATAATCCTCCAGGTTTAGCGCTTCCCCCTTGATTATAATAATAATAATAATTACCCCAACACTTTATGGTTATAGTTATAACCATTTTATAAGGCCTACTTTGTGCCACCTGAGTAGTTAGTTTACTGCGCACCTGCAGGTCATCCTATGAGCGGTAACTTAAAAGAACGGGATTACAGGGAGTGATAATTGGCCTTTGTCAGGCCCCACCACGCGCAGTTACATCCTTGACGATATTACAGCCGTTTAAATAACAAAAAGGCACAATACCGTGATTGGAACCATTCATAAATAACCTGCACATAGGACAAAGAAGCTGATGACGACGTTTCGGTCCAAACTTGGATCACTGACAAGTCACGTTTCATGTATCGTAATTTATTGACATAGCTAATCTACACAATGGAATATGTAGACACAGTCTCAAGACAGTTTGTTGACAGGTTAAGTTAATTAAGGTTTGTCCTGTGCCAGTGGAAGGCCAGTGTCAGTCCTGTGCCAGTGGAAGGCCAGTGCCAGCCCTGTGCCAGTGGAAGGCCAGTGCCAGTCCTGTGCCAGTGGAAGGCCTCGGTCAGATGACTTACCGGTCCATCCCAACCATTAGATTGTATTATTTTGTTGACAGGAAGTTGTCAGTGCCTGCTACTACGACGACTGAGGAGCCGGGGTGGCAGGAGAAACAAGAGGTTCTGGCCCGTCTTAACGACACTGTTATTGAACCCTCAGCCACGAATCGAACCCCCAACACCATCTGGCTCTTCTTCAACCGCATCCCACGCACGGGAGGCCAAACACTGGTCTCCCTCCTCAAGTCCCTCTCTGAGAACCTCGACTACCAGCACCAGGAACACGTGTACAGAACCCCCTGGCAGAGGTAAGAAATTAACTTCTATAAGATTTTCCCTTTTTGTGCCCTTTCAGTAACCCCTTTTATGTTTTGTTCAGGGGCTCCCTTTATACCTGTCCATTGCCAATTTTCAAGTCACTTTGACCCTCTCTTTTCCAGGTTGATGACTAATGAGGAACAGAAAAACTTGGCTACATGGTTCGAGTACAACTTCTGGCCTAAGAGTTATGACCGCTTCTCTCTCTTCATTAACTTTACCAAGCACAGGAGGTTGGTCGTACACGGTTATCATGTAAGGATGTTCAGAGGTCGTCTTCTAGCCGGTTGTATTTAAGGGGTAATCTTGAAGGGTATCTTTGTACGGGGGTAATCTTTAAGTGGTGGTTCTGTATGGGACATTCATTAAAGGGTTAGCTCTAAAAGGGCCTTGAGGCAGTCGTGGGTTAGCTTAAGGAGTAGTCACTAGATTTTTGTGTACAAATTACTGAAGGATTTTTTGTTTCTTGACACGTTTGAACGATCTTGTACTCGCTAATGTTCCACATGCCTTGGCCCTATTCTTGGCCACTTGAAGTCTAGTTTACTTACTTCATCCTGCTAAAACCCAACTTCCTTCTTTCTTACTCAACCTCCACTTCTTCCACTGTCTCCAACACATTCTTTGTGTTTCAAATACATTCTGTGTATCCTCAATACATTCTGTGTATCCTCAATACATTCTGTGTATCCTCAATACATTCTGTGTATCTTCAATACATTCTATGTATGTTCAATACATTCTGTGTATCTTCAATACATTCTGTGTATGGATTGAAAAAGCCACTAGTTGGCGAAGTCTCTTCAATAAAAATTCCCAGGTGTCGTTATCGTATTTCAATAATATAATGATAATTGCCCTGGGTCACTAAGCTGACGTGATAACCTTGACCTCCACAGCCAGTACGTGAAGATGCGTCCCGCCTACATTACCTTGGTGAGGGACCCCGTAGACAAGTACATCTCTCACTTCCGCTTCAAGAGAGTCAGTCAAGAGAGAGTGAAGCTGGAGATGGCAGTGAAGGAGAGAGAGAACCCAGGCAGTGGTAAGTTAGGTAGGAGAGTATCAGTGTTGGGGAGTGTGTGGGGAGTGTATGTGGGGAGTGTATGTGGGTGAGTGTATGTGTGGGTTGTGAATAAATAATTTACAAAACCGACAAGTTGATAAATGAGACACTTGTGAGACATTTGGGTACTATATTCCAGAATAAAGATACCCAAATGTCTGACTTATCAATATGTGTGGGGTAAGAGGTGTCATTGTGAATAAGTTTATTTAGGCACAGCTATACACGTAAGTACAATTTCCTCGATAATGTGAGAAATCACGAAAGCGCTTAGACTTTTATTATTTTTTCCATTTTTTTTTTATTTTTTTTCACAAGTACAACTATCACACAATGTGTAGATTACCTCGGTTAACACAAAAAAAAATCAAAGTGATTTATTTCCATTAGGGTCCTTGAGTGTGTGTGAGAGAGGAATGCAAGAGTGAGAAGTTGTCGGTATGGACGAACTGGAGGTTTAAACAAGGTGTTTGAGAAGGTTATTCAGCAGGTGTCATACCTTCCCCGGGTGACAGGTCGAACTTGGTACTGGAAGAAGCTGGAACAATGCGTCTTGGAAGATGACCCCGAGTGTGATCTTCAACCTGGTTCCCATGACTTTATCTCCGCTATTCCCTTCTTCTGCGGCCAGCACCAGCAGTGTCTGTAAGTCAGTCAGTCTCTCTCTCTCTCGGAAAGGCTCTTGGTCAAAGGAGTTTGAGCGTCCATCCCTTTTCTTGAATCAAACCTGATAGCATTTCATTCCCAATTCCTTATATGACCTCAAAGGGACTATAAAAACAATAATAATATAATTAGTAATGAAAATATAACAAAAATATAATTAATAAAATTGTAATTAATATAATGATAATTATAATTAAGAATATAAGTGACCAACGAACCACAAACTACCTCAACACCCAACGGTAGTTACAAACTACCTCAACACTCAACGGTAGTTACAAACTACCTCAACACCCAACGGTAGTTACAAACTACCTCAACACTCAACGGTAGTTACAAACTACCTTAACACCCAACGGTAGTTACAAACTACCTCAACACTCAACGGTAGTTACAAACTACCTCAACACTCAACGGTAGTTACAAACTACCTCAACACTCAACGGTAGTTACAAACTACCTCAACACTCAACGGTAGTTACAAACTACCTCAACACTCAACGGTAGTTACAAACTACCTCAACACTCAACGGTAGTTACAAACTACCTCAACACTCAACGGTAGTTACAAACTACCTCAACACTCAACGGTAGTTACAAACTACCTCAACACCCAACGGTAGTTACAAACTACCTCAACACTCAACGGTAGTTACAAACTACCTCAACACTCAACGGTAGTTACAAACTACCTCAACACTCAACGGTAGTTACAAACTACCTCAACACTCAACGGTAGTTACAAACTACCTCAACACTCAACGGTAGTTACAAACTACCTCAACACCCAACGGTAGTTACAAACTACCTCAACACCCAACGGTAGTTACAAACTACCTCAACACTCAACGGTAGTTACAAACTACCTCAACACTCAACGGTAGTTACAAACTACCTCAACACTCAACGGTAGTTACAAACTACCTCAACACCCAACGGTAGTTACAAACTACCTCAACACTCAACGGTAGTTACAAACTACCTCAACACCCAACGGTAGTTACAAACTACCTCAACACCCAACGGTAGTTACAAACTACCTCAACACTCAACGGTAGTTACAAACTACCTCAACACCCAACGGTAGTTACAAACTACCTCAACACTCAACGGTAGTTACAAACTACCTCAACACTCAACGGTAGTTACAAACTACCTCAACACTCAACGGTAGTTACAAACTACCTCAACACTCAACGGTAGTTACAAACTACCTCAACACCCAACGGTAGTTACAAACTACCTCAACACTCAACGGTAGTTACAAACTACCTCAACACTCAACGGTAGTTACAAACTACCTCAACACTCAACGGTAGTTACAAACTACCTCAACACCCAACGGTAGTTACAAACTACCTCAACACTCAACGGTAGTTACAAACTACCTCAACACTCAACGGTAGTTACAAACTACCTCAACACTCAACGGTAGTTACAAACTACCTTAACACCCAACGGTAGTTACAAACTACCTCAACACCCAACGGTAGTTACAAACTACCTCAACACTCAACGGTAGTTACAAACTACCTCAACACCCAACGGTAGTTACAAACTACCTCAACACCCAACGGTAGTTACAAACTACCTCAACACTCAACGGTAGTTACAAACTACCTCAACACCCAACGGTAGTTACAAACTACCTCAACACTCAACGGTAGTTACAAACTACCTCAACACCCAACGGTAGTTACAAACTACCTCAACACTCAACGGTAGTTACAAACTACCTCAACACTCAACGGTAGTTACAAACTACCTCAACACCCAACGGTAGTTACAAACTACCTCAACACTCAACGGTAGTTACAAACTACCTCAACACTCAACGGTAGTTACAAACTACCTCAACACCCAACGGTAGTTACAAACTACCTCAACACTCAACGGTAGTTACAAACTACCTCAACACCCAACGGTAGTTACAAACTACCTCAACACCCAACGGTAGTTACAAACTACCTCAACACTCAACGGTAGTTACAAACTACCTCAACACTCAACGGTAGTTACAAACTACCTCAACACTCAACGGTAGTTACAAACTACCTCAACACTCAACGGTAGTTACAAACTACCTCAACACTCAACGGTAGTTACAAACTACCTCAACACTCACGGTAGTTACAAACTACCTCAACACTCAACGGTAGTTACAAACTACCTCAACACTCAACGGTAGTTACAAACTACCTCAACACTCAACGGTAGTTACAAACTACCTCAACACTCAACGGTAGTTACAAACTACCTCAACACTCAACGGTAGTTACAAACTACCTCAACACTCAACGGTAGTTACAAACTACCTCAACACTCAACGGTAGTTACAAACTACCTCAACACTCAACGGTAGTTACAAACTACCTCAACACTCAACGGTAGTTACAAACTACCTCAACACTCAACGGTAGTTACAAACTACCTCAACACTCAACGGTAGTTACAAACTACCTCAACACTCAACGGTAGTTACAAACTACCTCAACACCAACGGTAGTTACAAACTACCTCAACACTCAACGGTAGTTACAAACTACCTCAACACCCAACGGTAGTTACAAACTACCTCAACACCCAACGGTAGTTACAAACTACCTCAACACCCAACGGTAGTTACAAACTACCTCAACACCCAACGGTAGTTACAAACTACCTCAACACTCAACGGTAGTTACAAACTACCTCAACACTCAACGGTAGTTACAAACTACCTCAACACTCAACGGTAGTTACAAACTACCTCAACACCCAACGGTAGTTACAAACTACCTCAACACTCAACGGTAGTTACAAACTACCTCAACACTCAACGGTAGTTACAAACTACCTCAACACTCAACGGTAGTTACAAACTACCTCAACACTCAACGGTAGTTACAAACTACCTCAACACTCAACGGTAGTTACAAACTACCTCAACACCCAACGGTAGTTACAAACTACCTCAACACTCAACGGTAGTTACAAACTACCTCAACACTCAACGGTAGTTACAAACTACCTCAACACTCAACGGTAGTTACAAACTACCTCAACACCCAACGGTAGTTACAAACTACCTCAACACCCAACGGTAGTTACAAACTACCTCAACACCCAACGGTAGTTACAAACTACCTCAACACCCAACGGTAGTTACAAACTACCTTAACACTCAACGGTAGTTACAAACTACCTCAACACCCAACGGTAGTTACAAACTACCTTAACACCCAACGGTAGTTACAAACTACCTTAACACCCAACGGTAGTTACAAACTACCTCAACACTCAACGGTAGTTACAAACTACCTTAACACCCAACGGTAGTTACAAACTACCTCAACACCCAACGGTAGTTACAAACTACCTCAACACCCAACGGTAGTTACAAACTACCTTAACACCCAACGGTAGTTACAAACTACCTTAACACCCAACGGTAGTTACAAACTACCTCAACACTCAACGGTAGTTACAAACTACCTCAACACTCAACGGTAGTTACAAACTACCTCAACACCCAACGGTAGTTACAAACTACCTCAACACTCAACGGTAGTTACAAACTACCTCAACACTCAACGGTAGTTACAAACTACCTCAACACTCAACGGTAGTTACAAACTACCTCAACACTCAACGGTAGTTACAAACTACCTTAACACCCAACGGTAGTTACAAACTACCTTAACACCCAACGGTAGTTACAAACTACCTCAACACTCAACGGTAGTTACAAACTACCTTAACACCCAACGGTAGTTACAAACTACCTTAACACCCAACGGTAGTTACAAACTACCTCAACACTCAACGGTAGTTACAAACTACCTTAACACCCAACGGTAGTTACAAACTACCTCAACACTCAACGGTAGTTACAAACTACCTTAACACTCAACGGTAGTTACAAACTACCTTAACACCCAACGGTAGTTACAAACTACCTCAACACCCAACGGTAGTTACAAACTACCTCAACACTCAACGGTAGTTACAAACTACCTTAACACTCAACGGTAGTTACAAACTACCTTAACACCCAACGGTAGTTACAAACTACCTTAACACCCAACGGTAGTTACAAACTACCTCAACACTCAACGGTAGTTACAAACTACCTTAACACCCAACGGTAGTTACAAACTACCTTAACACCCAACGGTAGTTACAAACTACCTCAACACTCAACGGTAGTTACAAACTACCTTAACACCCAACGGTAGTTACAAACTACCTTAACACCCAACGGTAGTTACAAACTACCTCAACACTCAACGGTAGTTACAAACTACCTTAACACCCAACGGTAGTTACAAACTACCTTAACACTCAACGGTAGTTACAAACTACCTTAACACCCAACGGTAGTTACAAACTACCTTAACACTCAACGGTAGTTACAAACTACCTTAACACCCAACGGTAGTTACAAACTACCTTAACACCCAACGGTAGTTACAAACTACCTTAACACCCAACGGTAGTTACAAACTACCTTAACACCCAACGGTAGTTACAAACTACCTCAACACTCAACGGTAGTTACAAACTACCTTAACACCCAACGGTAGTTACAAACTACCTTAACACCCAACGGTAGTTACAAACTACCTTAACACCCAACGGTAGTTACAAACTACCTTAACACCCAACGGTAGTTACAAACTACCTCAACACTCAACGGTAGTTACAAACTACCTTAACACCCAACGGTAGTTACAAACTACCTCAACACTCAACGGTAGTTACAAACTACCTTAACACCCAACGGTAGTTACAAACTACCTCAACACTCAACGGTAGTTACAAACTGCCTTAACACCCAACGGTAGTTACAAACTACCTTAACACTCAACGGTAGTTACAAACTACCTTAACACCCAACGGTAGTTACAAACTACCTTAACACCCAACGGTAGTTACAAACTACCTTAACACCCAACGGTAGTTACAAACTACCTTATCACCCAACGGTAGTTACAAACTACCTTAACACCCAACGGTAGTTACAAACTACCTTAACACCCAACGGTAGTTACAAACTACCTTAACACCCAACGGTAGTTACAAACTACCTTAACACCCAACGGTAGTTACAAACTACCTTAACACCCAACGGTAGTTACAAACTACCTTAACACCCAACGGTAGTTACAAACTACCTTAACACCCAACGGTAGTTACAAACTACCTTAACACCCAACGGTAGTTACAAACTACCTTAACACCCAACGGTAGTTACAAACTACCTTAACACCCAACGGTAGTTACAAACTACCTTAACACCCAACGGTAGTTACAAACTACCTTAACACCCAACGGTAGTTACAAACTACCTCAACACTCAACGGTAGTTACAAACTACCTCAACACTCAACGGTAGTTACAAACTACCTCAACACTCAACGGTAGTTACAAACTACCTCAACACTCAACGGTAGTTACAAACTACCTCAACACTCAACGGTAGTTACAAACTACCTCAACACTCAACGGTAGTTACAAACTACCTCAACACTCAACGGTAGTTACAAACTACCTCAACACCCAACGGTAGTTACAAACTACCTTAACACCCAACGGTAGTTACAAACTACCTTAACACCCAACGGTAGTTACAAACTACCTTAACACCCAACGGTAGTTACAAACTACCTTAACACCCAACGGTAGTTACAAACTACCTTAACACCCAACGATAGTTACAAACTACCTCAACACTCAACGGTAGTTACAAACTACCTCAACACTCAACGGTAGTTACAAACTACCTCAACACTCAACGGTAGTTACAAAGTACCTCAACACTCAACGGTAGTTACAAAGTACCTCAACACTCAACGGTAGTTACAAACTACCTCAACACTCAACGGTAGTTACAAACTACCTCAACACTCAACGGTAGTTACAAACTACCTCAACACTCAACGGTAGTTACAAACTACCTCAACACCCAATGGTAGTTACAAACTACCTCAACACCCAACGGTAGTTACAAACTACCTTAACACCCAACGGTAGTTACAAACTACCTTAACACCCAACGGTAGTTACAAACTACCTTAACACCCAACGGTAGTTACAAACTACCTTAACACCCAACGGTAGTTACAAACTACCTTAACACCCAACGGTAGTTACAAACTACCTTAACACCCAACGGTAGTTACAAACTACCTTAACACCCAACGGTAGTTACAAACTACCTTAACACCCAACGGTAGTTACAAACTACCTTAACACCCAACGGTAGTTACAAACTACCTTAACACCCAACGGTAGTTACAAACTACCTTAACACCCAACGGTAGTTACAAACTACCTTAACACCCAACGGTAGTTACAAACTACCTTAACACCCAACGGTAGTTACAAACTACCTTAACACCCAACGGTAGTTACAAACTACCTTAACACCCAACGGTAGTTACAAACTACCTTAACACCCAACGGTAGTTACAAACTACCTTAACACCCAACGGTAGTTACAAACTACCTTAACACCCAACGGTAGTTACAAACTACCTTAACACCCAACGGTAGTTACAAACTACCTTAACACCCAACGGTAGTTACAAACTACCTTAACACCCAACGGTAGTTACAAACTACCTTAACACCCAACGGTAGTTACAAACTACCTCAACACCCAACGGTACTTACAAACTACCTCAACACTCAACGGTAGTTACAAACTACCTCAACGCCCAACGGTAGTTACAAACTACCTCAACACTCAACGGTAGTTACAAACTACCTCAACACTCAACGGTAGTTACAAACTACCTCAGCACTCAACGGTAGTTACAAACTACCTCAACACTCAACGGTAGTTACAAACTACCTCAACATCCAACGGTAGTTACAAACTACCTCAACATCCAACGGTAGTTACAAACTACCTCAACACCCAACGGTAGTTACAAACTACCTCAACATCCAACGGTAGTTACAAACTACCTCAACGCCCAACGGTAGTTACAAACTACCTCAACATCCAACGGTAGTTACAAACTACCTCAACACCCAACGATAGTTACAAACTACCTCAACACTCAACGGTAGTTACAAACTACCTCAACACCCAACGGTAGTTACAAACTACCTCAACACCCAACGGTAGTTACAAACTACCTCAACACTCAACGGTAGTTACAAACTACCTCAACACCCAACGGTAGTTACAAACTACCTCAACACTCAACGGTAGTTACAAACTACCTCAACACTCAACGGTAGTTACAAACTACCTCAACATCCAACGGTAGTTACAAACTACCTCAACACCCAACGGTAGTTACAAACTACCTCAACACTCAACGGTAGTTACAAACTACCTCAACACTCAACGGTAGTTACAAACTACCTCAACACTCAACGGTAGTTACAAACTACCTCAACACTCAACGGTAGTTACAAACTACCTCAACACTCAACGGTAGTTACAAACTACCTCAACACCCAACGGTAGTTACAAACTACCTCAACACCCAACGGTAGTTACAAACTACCTCAACACTCAACGGTAGTTACAAACTACCTCAACACTCAACGGTAGTTACAAACTACCTCAACACCCAACGGTAGTTACAAACTACCTCAACACTCAACGGTAGTTACAAACTACCTCAACACCCAACGGTAGTTACAAACTACCTCAACACCCAACGGTAGTTACAAACTACCTCAACACCCAACGGTAGTTACAAACTACCTCAACACTCAACGGTAGTTACAAACTACCTCAACACTCAACGGTAGTTACAAACTACCTCAACACTCAACGGTAGTTACAAACTTCCTCAACACTCAACGGTAGTTACAAACTACCTCAACACTCAACGGTAGTTACAAACTACCTCAACACTCAACGGTAGTTACAAACTACCTCAACACTCAACGGTAGTTACAAACTACCTCAACACCCAACGGTAGTTACAAACTACCTCAGCAACCACCCCTGTCCCTCCCACAGGAAGCTGGGAGACAAGTGGGCTTTACAGAGAGCCAAGTATCACGCTGAGTACGAGTACTCTGTAGTAGGCTTGATGGAGCACTGGAACACCACTCTGGGGGTCCTGGAGCACTATCTCCCCCTGTTCTTCCAAGGAGCTCGACAGCGCTACTGGAGCCCAGGTGAGAGCTTTCAAACAGATTTTTTTTGTTTTTTAATAAAATTTTTGTTACTGTGTTCTCTGTGATTAATACACAGTGGGAACAAAACCTAGCTATACCTTCCTGTCAGCCTGAGCTGGGAGACTTCAGTAGTGTCAGCCTGAGCTGGGAGACTTCAGTAGTATCAGCCTGAGTTGGGAGACTTCAGTAGTGTCACCCTGAGTTGGGAGACTTCATTAGTGTCACCCTGAGTTGGGAGACTTCATTAGTGTCACCAGGGCCAGATTAAGAAGTCTCAGGGACCTAGGCTATTCAGATTGGCGGGGCCCCTTTGAGTTACGGGTAAGCGAAGCGACCCCTTCCAGCTTGGGGGTGGGAGGTGGGGGGGGTCGGTGTGAGCCTGTTTAAGGTCTAATTAAATACATTCTGGCTATTTAGATTAAATTTAATAGGGAAAGTACATCAAGACAACCAAAACCATTTACCAACAGCCATTAACTATCTTGTTAAATCATGCATTTTAAAGAGAATAAACTCAAGACAGCATAGTATTACTAGATTAGGCTATTAAAGTAGTGACATCATGTACCTATTATATTCAGCATAACCACTACAGCACTATTATTCCCTTTATAAATCACTGACCATTATTGTTATCATTGCATCATGCATAAGACTATCAAATCTTATAAACTCAAGAAAGTAAAGAATTGTTTATATTCACAGGCACTTCTTAAATAAACTTTTTTCTGGATTTCATATTGGCAAAATCATCAATTATATTCTGAAAATCAATATTTCTTGTTAGATCAGACTCAATGGTCAACAAGGCTAGGTTACACAATTTGTCTTGGCTCATTGTTGAACGGAACTGGTTTTTCACTCTTTTCAAAACAGAAAATGAACGATCTCCTTCACAGTTAGTAGCTGGAAGTGTTAGGTAAAGGCGATACACTATGTCAACATTAGGGAAGGTTTCTGAGATACAGTACTGAGATACAGTACAAGTCTACATAACGTGTAATTACTACAGAAAATTGGAGAGGAATCTCCCATACTCACCCATTAGCTGGAAAACACAGCTGTTCTGATATAAACAAAGGCGTGTTGAGTGTTGCCATCTATGGTTAGGTTTATTTATTTTATTTTTTTTATTTCATTATTTATTTTTGTTTTGATTAATTTTTAAAAATCAATTTTACTCTCCAAACACTTGAACTTTTTAGGTAGGGACCCCTTTGCACTTGCACCATGTGCGCAGTCTTGGATGAGCCCCTGAACCCCTTGGACCGCGGGGCCCCCAAATGCGCGGGGCCCTAGGCAAATGCCTAGTTTGCCTATGCGGTAATCCGGCCTGATGTGTCACCCTGAGTTGGGAGACTTCAGTAGTGTCAGCCTGAGTTGGGAGACTTCAGTAGTATCAGCCTGAGTTGGGAGACTTCATTAGTATTAGCCTGAACTGGGAGACTTCAGTAGTGTCAGCTTGAACTGGAAGACTTCAATGGAACAATGAGGATGTCATCAAGTATTCCAGTAAGGGTTCATCAGGTACGGGAACGTCAAACATTTCCTTCTATCAGAGCTGGAGTTACTGTCACTTGGGAATTTCCATCTCACGTGAGAACCTGCCTCATACATAAAAGAAATGTATTTTTATGAAAATATCTCTATCATCCCAGAGCGGAGACAAGAGAAATTTTACATAGGAGTGTTACATGGAAGGAGGCGTAAGGTATATGCACCGAAAAATAAGTATCTCGCTGTATATACCCTGTGGTGTATATACAAAGAGGTAGGTGTGTGTGTGTGTGTGTGTGTATACGTACCTAGGTGTGTGTCTCCAAATTGACCGGTAAGCCAGCGGAAGGCCTCGGTCAGATGACCCAAAGTTCCAGCTGTGGTTCATCATATGACTAAGACCCGCGTCAGGAAACTTGTCCTGCCTCCTGACAAACCTAACATAATCTCAAAATCAGTGCCACTCAGGGGCGGATCTACTATAAAATTAATGAAGCTTAAACTTCAGGGCCCGTGATCCCGGAGGGACCCCAGAAGCGACTGTAGTTGCTTAAAGATGTTGAGTCTACTGTATGAGAAGGGGTTGCGAAGGGGCCCCCATAACAGTTCATGCTTCAGGGCCCCAAAAATGTAGGTCCGCCACTGGTGCCACTAAACGATTTTATCCACCTCTCTCCATCCCACCACCTCCCTCCATTCCACCTCCTCCCTCCATCCCACCTCCTCCCTCCATCCCACCACCTCCCTCCATCCCAGCATCTTCCTCCATCCCACCATCTCCCTCCATCCCACCACCTCCATCCCACCACCTCCCTCCATCCCAGCATCTTCCTCCATCCCACCACCTCCCTCCATCCTACCACCTCCCTCCATCCCACCACCTCCCTCCATCCCACCACCTCCCTCCATCCCACCACCTCCCTCCATCCCAGCATCTTCCTCCATCCCACCATCTCCCTCCATCCCACCACCTCCATCCCACCACCTCCCTCCATCCCACCACCTCCCTCCATCCCACCACCTTCCTCCATCCCACCACCTCCCTCCATCCCACCACCTCCCTCCATCCCACCACCTCCTTCCATCCCAGCATCTTCCTTCATCCCAGCACCTCCCTCCATCCCAGCACCTCCCTCCATCCCAGCACCTCCCTGCATCCCACCACCTCCCTCCATCCCAACACCTCCCTCCATCCCACCACCTCCCTCCATCCCAGCACCTCCCTCCATCCCAACACCTCCCTCCATCCCACCACCTCCCTCCATCTCACCACCTCCCTCCATCCCAGCATCTTCCTTCATCCCAGCACCTCCCTCCATCCCAGCACCTCCCTCCATCCCAGCACCTCCCTGCATCCCACCACCTCCCTCCATCCCAACACCTCCCTCCATCCCACCACCTCCCTCCATCCCAGCACCTCCCTGCATCCCACCACCTCCCTCCATCCCAGCACCTCCCTCCATCCCACCACCTCCCTCCATCCCACCACCTCCCTCCATCCCAACACCTCCCTCCATCCCACCACCTCCCTCCATCTCACCACCACTTCTACATTATCATCTCCACCTCTGGCAGAGTTCGAGGAGCAGCGACAAGTGAACAGAAACCCGAAGAAGTACCCGCAGGTGGCGGAGCGGGTACTGAAGGCCTTGAGGCAGAGACTGGGGCTGGAGTACGACCTCTACGAGTTCCTCCGTCAGCGCCTTCACTTGCAGCACCAGCAGCTGCTACACACCCTGACGGCCTCTACCACCAGACTACCAACCAGGTCCACTGATGTCCCTCGCTGGGGCATTCTTGACAGGATGGACATTGAAATGAGACATTAATGATGTCTGCTTGTGTGAGGAAAAAAATAATTTTAAGCGTTAAACTCACGTGGGTCGTTCGGCGCAAGACGTGGTGGAGGCTTAAACCTCCGTTTGCTGAATGCGTGACAGACGCGCTTCCTATTTATACTCACCTATATGCTTGCGTGAGAGAGTGGAAGAGAGAGAGTAAACCGTAGGGGTTATAAAGCACCTGGGAGAATTGGAGGTGATCAGGTTTGAGCCGAGGAAAGGGAAGGCAGCTCCAGTTCCATGCATCGATTCTCTCCTCTTACAAAGTTCCTAATTGGTCACTACCCTCATCCACATTTTTATTACCTAGCAAGTAGTTAACACCCAGTTATAAAATGTTGATAATTCAGATAATAAATAATATCTAGGCAACATAATTTACACTTAAAATTACCATTTCCATAATTATTACTCATTTTACGATACAAATTTCTACATGAGAGGGATAACTATAATAAATTTTTCTATACACATTATTTATTTATAAGTTTAGGGCACATAAGATTTTTTTTTAAGTTTAGCGAGAGAATAAAATATACAAACACGATCGACTTTTTATTACCTGGAGAGAGTTCCGGGGGTCAACGCCCCCGCGGCCCGGTCTGTGACCAGGCCTCCTGGTGGATCAGAGCCTGATCAACCAGGCTGTTACTGCTGGCTGCACGCAAACCAACGTACGAGCCACAGCCCGACTGGTCAGGAACCGACTTTAGGTGTTGACAATAATTAAGGTAAGATATTGTTCGGATTTTTAACCCCGGAGGGTTAGCCACCCAGGATAACCCAAAAAAGGAATTACATCATTAAGGGACTCTTATTTCCACTGGGGTCCTCAATTTTGTTCCCCAGGATGCGACCCACACCAGTCGTCTAACACCCAGGTACCTACTTGCTTGCTAGGTGAACAGGTGTAAGAGCGCCTAGTTTCCACCCCTGCCGGGAATCGAACCCGGACACTCAGCGTGTGAAGGAAGAACTTTGCGAGCCACTACAGACAGGTGAGGTGAAGCAGTTGAAGGCGGTGTCACCGGTGGACAATTCACTAGTGCAAGGATTCCCATTTTTTTTATGCCCCGCACCCTTAGGAAATGTTTGATTAATGTCGCACTCACTACAAAAGTAATATCACATTTGCATCAATTGTAAATATAAATTGAGCAATTTAAAAAGTTTTTGGTCAAATAAACGGAATTGTGCATGTCATTAGGGCTCGTTGTCGCACTCCCTTGAAATGCCAGCTCCCACCCCAGGTCAGGAACCCCTACACTAGTGGACTGTCCACCAGTGATGCTGCCTCCAACTGCTTCACCTCGCCTGTTTGTATTATATAAACTGCTACACGCATATGCTGTACTTTTATCAAGATAGACTGAACAAATCTTCAGGCTGAGGGACTGTTTACCTCAGACTCCTCATTTTCCAATGGTCTTTTCTGCATTGGACTGAAGAATCCACTGGCTGGCAAAACGTTCCACAATAAACATAACCCAAATTGTGAGTTTGATCTAAGGATGAGGCAGAACTGCAAAGAGACCTGGACAGGCTGGACATGTGGTCCAGAAACTGGCTTCTCGAATTCAATCCAGCCAAATGCAAAGTCATGAAGATTGGGGAGGGGCAAAGAAGACCGCAGACAGAGTATAGGCTAGGTGGACAAAGACTACAGACCTCACTCAGGGAGAAAGACCTTGGGGTGACCATAACACCGAGCACATCACCGGAGGCACACATCAACCAAATAACCGCTGCAGCATATGGGCGCCTGGCAAACCTGAGAATAGCGTTCCGATACCTTAATAAGGAATCGTTCAAGACACTGTACACTGTGATGTTAGGCCCATACTTGAGTATGCAGCACCAGTCTGGAACCCACACCTGGTCAAGCACGTCAAGAAGTTAGAGAAAGTACAAAGGTTTGCAACAAGGCTAGTCCCAGAGCTCAAGGGAATGTCGTACGAGGAAAGGTTAAGGGAAATCGGACTGACGACACTGGAGGACAGAAGGGTCAGGGGAGACATGATAACGACATACAAGATAAGAGATAAGATAAGATAAGATTTCGTTCGGATTTTTAACCCCGGAGGGTTAGCCACCCAGGATAACCCAAGAAAGTCAGTGCGTCATCGAGGACTGTCTAACTTATTTCCATTGGGGTCCTTAATCTTGTCCCCCAGGATGCGACCCACACCAGTCGACTAACACCCAGGTACCTATTTGCTGCTAGGTGAACAGGACAACAGGTGTAAGGAAACGTGTCGAATGTTTCCACCCGCCGGGAATCGAACCCGGGCCCTCCGTGTGTGAAGCGGGAGCTTTAGCCACCAGGCCACTGGGCCACAGATACTGCGGGGAATAGACAAGGTGGACAGAGATAGGATGTTCCAGAGAGGGGACACAGGGACAAGGGGTCACAACTGGAAGCTGAAGACTCAGACGAGTCACAGGGACGTTAGGAAGTATTTCTTCAGTCATAGAGTTGTCAGCAAGTGGAATAGCCTAGCAAGTGAAGTAGTGGAGGCAGGAACCATACATAGTTTTAAGAAGAGGTATGACAAAGCTCAGGAAGCAGAGAGAGAGAGAGGGGATCCAGTAGCGATCAGTGAAGAGGCAGGGCCAGGAGCTGAGTCTCGACCCCTGCAACCACAATTAGGTGAGTACACACACTCAGAAGTGTCCTTGTTTGCAGATGATGTGAAGTTAATGAGAAGAATCAAATCGGACGAGGATCAGGCAGGACTACAAAGAGACCTGGACAGGCTACAAGCCTGGTCCAGCAACTGGCTCCTTGAATTTAACCCTGCCAAATGCAAAGTCATGAAGATTGGGGAAGGGCAAAGAAGACCGCAGACACAATATAGTTTAGATGGCCAAAGACTGCAAACCTCACTCAAGGAAAAAGATCTGGGGGTGAGTATAACACCGAGCATATCTCCTGAGGCTCGCATCAATCAGATAACTGCTGCGCATACGGGCGCCTGGCAAACCTACGGATAGCGTTCCGATACCTCAGTAAGGATTCGTTTAAGACTGTATACCATCTACGTCAGGCCCATACTGGAGTATGCAGCACCAGTTTGGAATCCACACCTAGTCAAGCACGTCAAGAAATTAGAGAAAGTGCAAAGGTTTGCAACAAGACTAGTCCCAGAGCTACGGGGATTGTCCTATGAAGAAAGGTTGAGGGAAATCGGCCTGACGACACTGGAGGACAGGAGGGTCAGGGGAGACATGATAACGACATATAAAATACTGCGTGGAATAGACGAGGTGGACAAAGATGGGATGTTCCAGAGATGGGACACAGACACAAGAGGTCACAATTGGAAGTTGAAGACTCAGATGAATCAAAGGGATGTTAGGAAGTATTTCTTCAGTCATAGAGTAGTCAGGCCATGGAATAGCCTAGAAAGTGATGTAGTGGAGGCAGGAACCATACATAGTTTTAAGGCGAGGTATGATAGAGCTCATGGGGCAGGGAGAGAGAGGACCTAGTAGCAATCAGCGAAGAGGCGGGGCCAGGAGCTGTGAATCGACCCCTGCAACCACAAATAGGTGAGTACACACACACGCACACAAACGCGTCAAACAAAGGGGGACTGAAGTAAACTCAGTTTACTATACACGCGAGGCATACACCTTTCCGTGTATTTCCTGCGGGTTTAGCTCTTTCCCAAGACTATAATAATTAATTTTATTCTGTGTAACTCCTCAATATCCTTGTACACATGTACGTCCAATGTTTTTAATGCTGTGTTATGCTGTACTCGCCAGAGGATAAAGTGTCCAGAATATCTTGCTGCCAATTTTGTCAAGGTCGGGAACCAAAGCAATCATAGTACTAGGGGGGGGGGAGAGGACACAACTTTGTAGTACACACAGTCAGTGGCCAGGCTTCAAACACCTTTTATTGTACAACAATAAAGGAATGGAACAGACTGCCTGCACATGTCAAAGCCAGTCATAGCATGAACCAGTTCAAGAAGACTGCCAAAAGTTGCTTAATGAATGTAGAGACAGAAAGGGAGGGGAATGATTTTTTATGTTTTAGCTAACACACGTGTAATTTTACCTTATTCCTAGTAATGACCCTCGTATTGTAGTCTTAATGACCCTCGTGTAGTAGATAGTCTTAATGACCCTCGTGTAGTAGATAATCTTAATGACCCTCGTGTAGTAGATAGTCTTAATGATCCTCGTGTAGTAGTCTTAATGACCCTCGTGTAGTAGATAGTCTTAATGACCCTCGTGTAGTAGATAGTCTTAATGACCCTCGTGTAGTAGATAGTCTTAATGACCCTCGTGTAGTAGATAGTCTTAATGACCCTCGTGTAGTAGATAGTCTTAATGACCCTCGTGTAGTAGATAGTCTTAATGACCCTCGTGTAGTAGATAGTCTTAATGACCCTCGTGTAGTAGATAGTCTTAATGATCCTCGTGTAGTAGTCTTAATGACCCTCGTGTAGTAGATAGTCTTAATGACCCTCGTATTGTTGATAGTCTTAATGACCCTCGTGTAGCAGATAGTCTTAATGACCCTCGTATTGTAGATAGTCTTAATGACCCTCGTGTAGCAGATAGTCTTAATGACCCTCGTATTGTAGATAGTCTTAATGACCCTCGTGTAGCAGATAGTCTTAATGACCCTCGTATTGTAGATAGTCTTAATGATCCTCGTGTAGTAGATAATCTTTTTAGTATGATAATAAGATGCTATCTTCATTATAGATTAATAATAAGATATTATAACCTTTATATTATAATAATAAGGTAAAAGGACCCCAATGGAAATAAGTCACTGACTTTTTTAGGTTATCCCAGTTTCTCTACACATATGCTGCTATGTATGATAATCTATGTAACTGTATTTGTGTATATGTACCTGAATAAACTTATTTAGTCAAGCTTGCTGGAAAATGCTCTAGTTAGGTCAGTAACTTTATTTAGGTACAGGTACACATTAGTACAATTATCATAGTTTAACATATATGTAAATTACGAAGGATAACCCCTCCAAAAAAAAGTCAAAGTGAATTATTTCCATTGGTAGGTTGATGGAGTTTAAAGCCGATCTACTACACGAGGGTCATTATGGCTGCTCGTAATCTTTTCACCATCTGACAGTAATACTTTAATAAGTGAAATAGAGGCTAATATATATATATATATATATATATATATATATATATATATATATATATTATATATATATATATATATATATATATATATATATATATATATATCACCCAACCTGGAGATATACACATGGACTGCCAACTATCTTCCAGTTTTACAAGACTTCTGCGACACATTGATGTAAATATAGTAGTAGTGGTAGTAGTAGTAGTAGTAGTAATGGTGGTGGCAGTGGTAGTAGTAGTAGTAGTGTGGAAAATACTGTATATATTTTCCTGAAATACAGTAGTTATATGTAAATAGATGACCATACTGTATTTAATAAAAATTATGTTATAAAAAATGGGAAACTGCGCCTGCACAGAGGAGACTCGCCATTGTTGGTTGAATTGGACACAAACGTTAGTGAATAATGGGAAGAATTTTTCGTGCTCTAGAGGTAAAATTGGGCTGACACCTCTCAAATAGGAGCCGAAATTGTTGGATGTGCAGTCCTGCATAACGAGAGAATCAGGCGACTGGACAGGACTCCGTAATTAGATGAAAACAGGATATTACCCCCAGTTAAGTCATGTCTATATTTATGTTTATAGTTCTGGCCAGTATTATTATCATAAATGTAGACAGGGGGGATTTCTGAGTATGATGCACCTTAATCTCCAGTCAAATTGGTGAGTGATATTAAGATATATTCTCCTTCTGTTATGTAAATGTGTGTATATGTAATCATTTATTAATTTTAATATACAGTCCACAAATTTATATATTTACCAGAATTCCTGGTGATGTATATTTCATTTGTAATTAATAGTGTATATGTAATTAATGTGTGTATATGTAATCATTTATTAATTTTAATATACAGTCCACAAATTTATATATTTACCAGAATTCCTGGTGATGTATATTTCATTTGTAATTAATAGGTCCAGAGCAACTTGTGGATATCACAGTGGTAGGTATCGAAGGGGGACAATTTTTGTGACCTAGGTGTCCCAAATTCCTACTTTTCTATGTAACTCTGATAAATAATAATTATCTTTGTTATTTACTGGTATGTACATTATGAGTTACATACAGGTAAATGTAATTTTCCACAAGTAGTAGTAGTAGTAGAAGTGATGGTGGTAATAAATTTTAGTAGTAGTAGTAGTGGTAGTAGTAATTTTTATTATTATTAGTAGTAGTAGTAGTAATTATTATTTGTCATGATTATTATTATTGCTATTATTAGTGATAGTAGTAGTAGTAGTATCATTATTATTATTAGTAGTAGTAATTATCATTGTTATTATTATTAGTAGTAATTGTAATAATAATTATTATTAGTTATTATTATTGTTATTATTAGTGATAGTAGTAGTAGTAGTATCACCATTATTATTATTAGTAGTAGTAGTAGTAGTAATTATTATTATTTGTAGTAGTAGTCATTATAGCTCTTATTAATAGTAGCAGTGTTAGTAGTAATTATTATTGTTGTTATTATTGCTATTAGTACTCAGTAGTAATCATCATTGATAATTATTAAAGTTACACATAAACATGAATGTTAGTAAACAGACAGACGCCTCAACTTGACTCTCTCTCCCTCTCTCTCTCTCTCTCTCCTTCCTTCATTTATGGCGCCGATATTAAGTTGAAGTAAGTGAACCTTTGAGTTCTTCCCTCACGGGAGGTTCTGTCTTCTCTTGGTGTATTTCTCAGCCTAGAAAGAACTAGAGAAGGTTAAGTTCGTGGAAAATACTGAGGTTCTTGGTGGTGGTCTGCAGAGCTGACGGCGCCGCCATCACTTTTCAAAATCTGTTTTTATCAATATTCTGGGCTTTAAAAATCTAACAACCACTTAGACTAGATATTAAAGCTGTTCACAATCACACACACATTCTGGGCTTTAAGCTAGATAAATTTTGTTCGGATTTTTAACCCTGGAGGGTCTGTCTGATTTCCATTGTGCTCCTCAGTTTTGTCCCCCAGGATGCGACCCACACAAACCTAACACCCAGGTACCTACTTGCTAGGTGAACGGGACGACAGGTGTAATGAAACGCGTCCAATGTTTCCACCCTTGCTGGGAATCGAACCCGAACACTCGGCTTTGCCTACCAGGCCATGAGGCCTATACATAATCTGTACACAATCACACATTCTTGGCTTTAAGCTTTAAAAAACAGGCAGTTTAGACTTTAAAGCTGTTTACAAACACATTCTGGGCTTTAAACTAAAAATACGTACTTTAGACTTTAAACGTATACAAACATTCTGGTCTTTAAGACTTAACAGTCACAGTCTGGACTTTAAAGCTGTTCACAAAAACACATTCTGGGCTTTAAACTTTAAAAACACACTGTACAGGCATTTACCAACTCATTCTTAGTTTTAAAGCTTACAAATTAGCATTGTCTTAAAATTTCACAAATAATCATTCAAAGCATAAAAACATTTATCAAGCCAACATTCTATATTTAGATTGATTTAAAAAATACAGTAAAAGGAGCCCTTTATTAATACAGCGTTTCACCTACACGAGGCTTTATCAAAATTTGCAAGCCAGCCATCGAGATTTTAACATTTACGAACCATCATTTTGTAGGTAACAGGTTCATAGAACCGGCAGGTAGATGAATTAGACACTTGTGCAACACTTGGGTATCTTTACTATGGAAATGTTTTGCCAACCAGCTGCTTCCTCAGTCAGTGCAGAGAAAAATGGTTGAAGATCACAAGGAGTTTGAGGTAATCAGTCCCTGAGCCTAGAGTTGATGGGATCAGTACATCTTCCTCAGTCCAATCTGACTGAGGAAGCCGCTGGTTGGCAAAACGTTTGCTCAGTAAAGATACCCAAGTTTTGCACAAGTGTCTAATTCATCACTTTACATTTTGAAGATCTTTTCTAGTTAGCATTGCAGATAGAAAATGGTTTGCAAACCAACATTTTAGTATACAGTGGACCCCCGGTTTACGATATTATTTCATTCCAGAAGTATGTTCAGGTACCAGTACTGAAAGAATTTGTTCCCATAAGGAATATTGTGAATTAGATTAGTCCATTTCAGACCCCCAAACATACACGTACAAACGCACTTACATAAATACACTTAAATAACTGGTCGCATTGGGAGGTGATCGTAAAGCGGGGGTCCACTGTATATTAAACTGGGTTATGAATTAACATTGTAGACTGTTCTCACAAATGTTGTTAAGGTTTAATATATGATTTTTAAAAGTATTGCAGTTTAAACATTTACAAACATTATGAGATTTAAATATGTACATTGTAAATGCAATCCTTATGCTGTAAATGTTATACAGTATTTACAAACTCTAGATTTTAAAAGTTTATAGCATAAGGTTTTGCTAAAATTGTGTTAAAAATGTTAAATGTTACATTGTAAAAGACAAAACAATTTTTTTCATGTGAAAGAGGCCTATTGTTTTGTGGTAGTTTCTGTAATTTCTGAATACTGTCCTACGTGTTTTTAAGCCAGGCTTATAGTGACACTGCTGCCTATTAATTAAATTGTTGACAATAATTACATGTAAAGTTAGCTACACAAGACTAGGCAGTTTGTCTAATTTTCCTTAATGAGTCAAATTAGTTAGGGGGGAAAAGTAGTTGTGTTAAGTATATATTTTTGTTGTTGTAGGAGATAGTTTAGAGACTGTGATAGGAGACAGTTAAGCAGCTATTGTCAGTAGAGACAGTTAAGGAGCTATTGTCAATAGACGAAGTTGGGAAGCTATTGCCAATAAATAAAATGCCTCTTTAAAAATTCTGCAAAGTTAGTTGTACTGGATTTGATATTCCTTTGTGATTTGAAAAAAAAAAAAAAGAGTTGTCGACAGACAACATTTGTGATCTAAGTGCCGAGACAGATCAGACAGCTAAAAACTAAGTTTTTTGATTTATGGGAGTTTATTTTAACATGTGCCTTCTAATAATTCAATCATCTTGTAGCATACCTGGCACTGTATGACCCATTTGGGTTTGGTGCACTCTTGTAAATGTGGGTAGATAGCTTTTTTTTAATCTTTCAAATAACATATGATACATAGTTAAAAGGGGCCACAGGTTATTTGTACCCTGAAAATTTTTGTTTTAATACTTACTGTATTTTTTGACAACTTAGGGAAAATATTAGATTGCATGTAATTTGTCCTGAAGTAATTTTGTGTTCACTCTGTGTCTTGCATGCAATAGCCTGTATGTGTTTATGTGTAACTCGATACCTCTCTTTGTATGAGAAAGTTTATGTTAGAACCTTTTAAGTACCCTGACAGCATTATACATGACTCGGAGGTAAATGAAGAACATAGAATGTCATTGTGTCTCTCGATTTGTATCACACAGCTCATGTTACAATATTTTAAGTATTGTGGCATCATTATACATGGCTTGGAGATAAATAAAGAACAGTGAATATTACTTTGATGCAAAGTACTCATCTGTTGTGCAAAAGTTAATTTTTTCCCTTAGCTGTCAATGAGACCTCATCCAACTAGCTCTGGAGCAGCAACAATGCTGGAGCCAGAATAGCACAGTACATATACTCGGACTGATTAAATGGTATCTCATATCCCCAGCTGTGGAAAAAAATTAATTTTTTAAATCTTTGAAAATATGGCACCAGCTAGGTAATAGTATCTGACTAGAAGAAAAAACATATAGTAATTTGTGTGTGTTGTATGATAACTTTTTCCATGATTCACATTAGTTTTTATAAATTTTTACAATAATTTCCTTTTTTTATCTGCATCAATTTTTAAAATATAGGATAATATCTATAGATCAGAAAATAATAGTCGAGAAACAAGGTATAGCATAAAATTATGGTTAATTTTTTGTACTTCAAGACTTATAGTGTGGGTATCACCAGCAGCCAGTAAAGAAATACATATACACTGTAGAAACAAATGTCCCTCACTTTATGCACTGTGTGCGTTCCAGGCCCGTGGCAGCTGTACTAAACCCAATCAGGCCATCAGCACTTAATTCTGCATAATATGAACCAACAGTACACTTTGTGAGCCACATCGATAACATATGGCAAAAGTACAGTGGACCCCCAGTTATCGGCCGTAATCCGTTCCTGAAGGTCCGCCGATAACCGAAATGGCCAATAACCGAAATGGCCGATAACCGAATTAATATTTCCCATAAGAATTAATGGAAATATGTACAATTAATTCGTTCCAAACAAAAATATTTACAAAAAAAAAAATTTTTTTTACAATTGTGTAAGTATTACATACCTTTATTGAAGGCTAATGCTGGCTTCTGGAAGATAGGGAGGAGGAAAGAGGGAGGAGTTAGTGTTTGAAAGGGAAATCCCCCTCCATAAAAACTTTAGATAGCAAAGCCTTCTCTGGGGTTACTTCCCTTCTCTGTCTTTTAATGCCATTAAGACCAGCTTGAGAGTCACTGGACCCCTGTCTCACAAAATAACTGTCTGAGTGCTCTGTTTCTGGCATCTCTAAGATTTCCCTGAAGTGAGACAGGGTTTTGCCACTAAACATGTTGCAGATATGGTTTGTTTCAGCTTTATCAGGGTGGTGTTTCTTTACAAAAGCTTGCACCCTAGTCCACAATGCACACACCTCTTTAATCTCTGAAGAATCACCTCCTTCACTCCCTCTTCCTCCTCCTCTGAAGTAAGTTCCTCAGCTGCAGTCTGTTGCTGCTCAAGTTGAAGCTCTTGCAGCTCTTCAGTGGTAAGCTCTTCCCTGTGGTCCTCCACCAACTCTTCCACATCCTTGCCACTCACCGCCAACCCCAGGGACTTCCCCAGTTCCACAATAGAGTCCACAAGGTCGGCAGGGTCAGGGTCACAGTGAGCCTCAAACCCTTCAAAATCCCTCTCTTGGACACAGTCTGGCCACAGTTTTCTCCAAGCAGAGTTCAAAGTCCTGGAAGTCACTCCCTCCCAAGCCTTAACTATAAGTCTTATGCAATGGAGGATAGTGAAGTGATTCCTCCAGAACTCTCTTAGGGTCAACTGAGTGTCTGAGGTCACTTCAAAGCACTTTTGAAACACTGTTTTTGTGTAGATTTTTTTGAAGTTAGAAATGACCTGCTGGTCCATGTGCTGGAGGAGAGGAGTGGTGTTAGGAGGCAAGAACTTCACTTTTATAAAGCTGAAGTCCCTAAACACTTGATTTTTTTGAAGTTAGAAATGACCTGCTGGTCCATGTGCTGGAGGAGAGGAGTGGTGTTAGGAGGCAAGAACTTCACTTTTATAAAGCTAAAGTCCCTAAACACTTGGTCTTCCAAGTTTGGAGGATGTGCAGGAGCATTGTCCAGTACCAGGAGGCACTTGAGTGGCAATTTCTTTTCCAGGAGGTATTTTTTCACACTTGGGCCAAACACATCATTAACCCACTCTTTGAAAATTTGCCTTGTGACTCATGCCTTATGATTAGCTTTCCACATCACACAATCTATTCTTCATGACATTGTTTGTCTTAAACACTCTGGGATTTTCTGAGTGATACACACGTAAAGGCTTCACTTTGAAATCCCCACTAGCATTACCACACAACAAAAGAGTAAGCCTGTCTTTCATAAGCTTGTGTCCTGGCAGTGCCTTTTCCTCCTGGGTAATTTAGGTCCTGTTTGGCATTTCTTCCAAAACAGGCCTGTTTCGTCACAATTGAACACTTGTTGTGGTTTGAATCTTTCAGCCTTTACACAGTCCTGGAATTCATGAACATACTTTTCAGCCACACATTTGTCAGAACTTGCAGCCTCACCATGCCTTACAACACTGTGTATGTCACTACGCTTCTTAAATCTATCAAATCTATCAAACCATCCCGCTGTATAGCAGTTGTGGCTTAGCGCTTCTTTTTGATTATAATAATAATAATATCAAACCATCCTTTGCTGGCCCTAAATTCACAAATTGCAGCACTTGTTCCAGGCATTTTCTTTGCAAGATCCTCATGCAACTGCTTTGCCTTCTCACAAATGATCGACTCCACAACTTATTTCACAGTTGCACTGCAAGAAAAACCACTAAAAACAATGGTAAACAAACGAAATGTTTGGATGTATGAGCAGAAGCTTCCTCAGCCACCAAGAGACAAAGCCAAAATAAAGCGCAAGCTGCCCCAGCCGGTGGATGGACGCGTCCAAAATGGCTGATAACCGAGCGAACGGCCAATAACCGGGCGCCGAAAACCCCGCTGATAACCGAGTTTGCCGATAACCAAACCGGCCGATAACCGGGGGTCCACTGTATATCGCACATATGGAATTACTGGTAGAAATGGGACATCGCATAATAATGAATTCGGATAAAATAAACCCACAAAAAGTGAGTGAAACATGTATTTTGTGTATGAAAGCTTATATACACAGCAAACAACCAACATTTTCTTGTTAATTTCTAAATACAACTTTGCACCTCATAGAATTTTTTTTTTGTTATACGTACTGTACATCATGTCTTTGCACTCTAAAATTACCATTATACAATAAAAACTAAATGGAATGTTGATTTAATTTATTATTTATTCTGCATGCTGATTCTGATTAGATAATCTATTGTTACCCTACAAACTTCATTACTCAAAGAATTTTAGCGGTTGCTAAATCTCTGCACCATATTATTGTCACATAATGTCACTTGTACATATATTGAGAGACCTTGATCCTTGCATGCTTCTGGAGAGAGAAAGAGAGAGACCTATTGAACGTAGCTTGAATTATTATCAGTATGAAAAGAAAAATCTTTGGGTTAGTAGAGTCCAAAAGGATAATATCAGCAGATATAAAATGTACATGTTCTATCATGGGTCTTGGAGTTTATGTAAATGGTAATAAGTTTTCTTGTCATGCATTTGGCTGTTGTTACCATATAAAATTGAAATGACCTAAGTAAATATATAGTAAAGGAAAGTCAACTGCCTGGGCAATAAGTGTAGGAATATAGTCACTTTGTCATGAAGTTCTTTGTATTTAAACCAAACCTTCTTGAGTTATGTTCATACGATGCAAATGCATTATATGTATTCACCTCTTCAGTATATTATCAAATAACATTTTCATTGAAATGCAGTATTTTAGTGTGAGCTTCTTCGTAGTAATTCAGAGCGTTTCTTTTGTTAACATCGATTTCAAGGCTGAACTAATAAAACAGTTGTGCCCTTGTTTCATCTCTGTACTTTGGTGATTTTCTTTACCACGTCCAGTGATTCATCAGCATTATGTATGGTGTGGTGCGGAAGTCTACTCGTGGGAATATTTGAAGGTTCTGTTGTGTGTACTAGGCTTTAAAATTGTTTTCTGACAATACAAACTAAATTGAATATAAATTTGATCTACTGATTAATCCTAGAGTGGGTTTGATGGCATTCTGTACTGGCATGTAAGTCAATTGTTAACATTGCTTATGGAACTGGTGAAGATGGTGTACCGTAGGTCATATTGAAACACTGTTGCCATAGGTAACATCTGCGTACTTGAACTGCGTGCTTTTTATTTTTAATTAGAGCACCCGTGATCATTTTTGTTTCATTTTGAGTAGTAGTAGATCGCTAGCTTATATTAAGTTGAAATGCAAGTGAGCTTTAAATGGATTTTGTTTTCATGCCTGTTGTCTTACACTCGGAGTGATTTTATTTCGATTTATACTGAAAAATCATCATCTTCCTCAATCCTTTTAGTACTTATTCGCGTCAACGCAAAATTTTCCGGGTTTTAATAGTTTGATGATTTTCAGACTGAAAAATATTAATTCACTTGCACATATAAACGATGTCAGTTGAACCTCCTACCCATGAAGAGATCCAAATAGATGATGAAGTAGAAGAAATTGATGATGAGGAAGAGGATGAGGAGGAGGTTGATGAGGAAGAAGATGTAGATGAAGAGGAGGAGGAAGAAGAAATAGAGGAAGTGACTCATGGTAGGAGCACTGGCAGAGGCCTAACCTTGAAGACACTGGTGAAGGAAGGCATCTTACAGCCTGGCGAGGGACTCATGACCATCAATTACCTGGTAAGGTCATCTTACGATATCTTGCGACTCAATCATGTGATGTTTTGCATCACATGCTTTTATGATGTCTGATATCCTAAAGTCGCATAACATCTTGCACCTAATGTTTTTACACAGAAATGTGTCTCACCATTTTATAGTACCACAGTCTGATAATGCCTTTTGGTTGCTCTTTTGTGATAGCCTGCCTATCATCTTTATGGGGTGTTGTATATTTTACAACATTTGCATTTTATGTTATAATCAAATGGTATTGTAGTTCTCAGACTGCTGGAAGACTTGAATGTTACATCTGCCAGTATACACAGCAGTGAATAGCTGTGTGAATTTGGAAACTATTGCCTTTTCCACCGCATAAATCTTCTGCTGGAGCTGAGAATTTTAAAGGGAAAATTACCTAAAATCTCAATATTTCATATTAAATGAAAAAACTTGATATTTTGCAATTTGCCGACATTCGCAATGCACGTCGTAAATTGCATAGATTACAAGCCTTGTTAAGTCTACTGATCAAAAGGCTTCATGAAGAACTATAGTATATATATTTAATACAGTATGAAATTATCTTACATATGAGCAAGGCATAAATATAGTGATCACCTACTCAAAATGAAACAGTGGGAACATTTGTCAGTAACAATTGCTGCTAAATTCATAGCCAGGGCAATTACTAATATACTTTTCTTAAAATATACGAACAAATCGATTAATTCCCTGCAGTAAATAAAATTTCATTGGCTGCAAATGTTGGGTATACTGATGTACCTTGTCCCTACCTATTTCTTGTATACTTTACTAAAGGCAGCACTCAGGATTGATGGACTCTTAATGTTATCTTATTATTTAATTACAGAACATAATGGGAAAAACAACATGATATGCATACTGACAGTCACATGTTGATTTGTTGATTACATCTTCATCGTCAGTGAATTGCTTCAAGACAGTTTCGTGGTTAGTGCTGCTCTCTGGTGTCTTACTCACTTGCTGAAGTGGGTTGTGTAGTAAAAACTTGTACTAACTTTGTAAATGCTCAATAACAAATCCTAATATAGAATATGCTCTGAAATATATAATTTAAAACATTAACATATTCTTGCTCTTATTAACACTACCCGTAACATTGTCAAGTGAAAATCTATCAAGTGGAGGATGGCATAGGAGTTGTCTCTACTGTATTGTGGATGCTTGCAGAATGATGAGGTTATATTCTTGAAAAATGCTGTACAGGGCAAAAACCCATTTGGTCAACTTGATAATTTATAGAGAAAATTGGGTTAAGGTATTTCAGTTGGAACATTCAGCAGCAGACAAAGTAACACAAATATTCCCTATATAAGTGAGAGAAAATAGGAGCATAGGAACACTGTACAGCAGACAATAACCTTTGGTCACCATGATATATGGAGTTTTATATTTTATTAGTAATGTAATCTATTCCTGTCTTTAATTGTAAGTTTATAATTATGACTGCATTGTTCATTTCGCTCAAAGTGAATAAGAGAGCATCTCGCCTTCTCACTTTCACATGTGGGGAAGCACAACAGCATTCAGTACTTCCTAAATCATATGGTATAAATGAATTTCATATGACATTATTTGTAAATTAATAAATAACTTAACAGTGTGACTAAAGAGAGATGCAGAAATGATATCCTTTGAAGGGAGGGAGCTAGGGATAGTGGTGTAGCGGCCTCTGAGGTACACCAGACATGTTCATGTACTGGACAAACACCACACTTCCACCCACCCTGTCAGTCTTTCTCTTGTTCTTCATGCCTTCTTATGACTTTTATCTTAAAAAATGATGAGTGAAATGTGAAAAGTTTCTTTTGAAGACAAGAGGGAGGGAGAGAGACAAGTTATTTAAGTTGTAGGAGGGAGGCAGAAAGCTCATTTTATTGTAGGATTGCCACACCACTAGCTAACTCTTGGCTGCTCAAGTCTTATGATGAATGAGTTTCACAGGAAACTTTCTAGGTTAAGAACTGTGCTGTAAATCTTATCCTAGTATATGTATTCTACTTGACTTTCATCATTTTCTTGTTTATACCATAGCCAAAGCACATGATCTAATACCTGCATCTTGGCTTTCTAAGCATTTTTCATATGCTCATGGCTTCCATAGTTTCAGCATCTGCATAAAATTTGAGCAAATCAATTTTGTGTGTCACTCATGGTACATGTGTAAATATTAGACTCGTGCACTGCTAACAACAGACCTCCGTGTTATCCTGCAGATTTGGTCAAGTCCACCGTTTTGAATGCAAACAATTTTCCCATTCACCAAAACCAAGTAACACAAAAATCCAGTGCAAACCCATGTTGTACAAAAGTTGACTGTAGACAGAAATTAGGTAGGGATGAAACAGAAAATAGCCTGGTTCATGAGACCTGGTCCATGAGGCCTGGTTCATGAGGCCTGGTCCATGAGGCCTGGTTCATGAGGCCTGGTTCATGAGGCCTGGTCCATGAGGCCTGGTTCATGAGGCCTGGTCTGTTAGGCCTGGTCCATGAGGCCTGGTTCATGAGGCCTGGTCCATGAGGCCTGGTCCATGAGGCCTGGTTCATGAGGCCTGGTTCATGAGGCCTGGTCCATGAGGCCTGGTTCATGAGGCCTGGTTCATGAGGCCTGGTCCATGAGGCCTGGTTCATGAGGCCTGGTCTGTGAGGCCTGGTCCATGAGGCCTGGTCCATGAGGCCTGGTCCATGAGGCCTGGTCCATGAGGCCTGGTCTGTGAGGCCTGGTTCATGAGGCCTGGTTCATGAGGCCTGATCCATGAGGCCTGGTCCATGAGGCCTGGTCCATGAGGCCTAGTCCATGAGGCCTGGTCCATAAGGCCTAGTCTGTGAGGCCTGGTCTGTGAGGCCTGGTCTGTGAGGCCTGGTCCATGAGTCCTGGTCTGTGAGGCCTGGTCCATGAGGCCTGGTCCATGAGGCCTGGTCTGTGAGGCCTAGTCCATGAGGCCTGGTCTGTGAGGCCTGGTCCATGAGGCCTAGTCCATGAGGCCTGGTCTTGGGGCATTGACTCTCAGAACATCCTCCAGGTATGTGCAGGTTATTTATGTAGTATATGTAAGTGTGTATGTGGTGTAGTATATGAGTAAAGGTAGAAAGTTGAAAGTGAACATAGAAAAGAGTAAGGTGATGAGAGTATCAAATGATTTAGATAAAGAAAAATTGGATATCAAATTGGGGAGGAGGAGTATGGAAGAAGTGAATGTTTTCAGATACAGTGGACCCCCGGTTTACGATATTATTTCATTCCAGAAGTATGTTCAGGTGCCAGTACTGACCGAATTTGTTTCCATAAGGAATATTGTGAATTAGATTAGTCCATTTCAGACCCCCCAAACATACACATGCAAACACACTTACATAAATACACTTACGTAATTGGTCGCATTGGGAGCTGATCGTAAACCGGGGGTCCACTGTGTTTGGGAGTTGACGTGTCAGCAGATGGATTTATGAAGGATGAGGTTAATCATAGAATTGATGAAGGAAAAGAGGTGAGTGGTGCATTGAGGTATATGTGGAGGCAAAAAATGTTATCTATGGAGGCAAAGAAGGGAATACAGTGGACCCCCGGTTAACGAACTTTTTTCATTCCAGTAGTATGTTCAGGTGCCAGTACTGACCGAATTTTTTCCCATAAGGAATATTGTGAAGTAGATTAGTCCATTTCAGACCCCCAAACATACACGTACAAACGCACTTACATAAATACACTTACATAATTGGTCGCATTTGGAGGTGATCGTTAAGCGGGGGTCCACTGTATATGAAAGTATAGTAGTACCAACACTCTTATATAGGTGTGAAGCTTGGGTTGTAAATGCTGCAGCGAGGAGGTGGTTGGAGGCAGTGGAGATGTCCTGTCTAAGAGCAATGTGTGGTGTAAATATTATGCAGAAAATTTGGAGTGTGGAAATTAGGAGAAGGTGTGGAGTTAATAAAAGTATTAGTCAGAGGGATGAAGAGGGTTTGTTGAGGTGGTTTGGTCATTTAGAGAGAATGAATCAAAGTAGAATGACTTGGAGAGCGTATAAATCTGTAGGGGAAGGAAGGCGGGGTAGGGGTCATCCTCGAAAAGGTTGGAGGGAGGGGGTAAAAGAGGTGTTGTGGGCGAGAGGTTTGGACTTCCAGCAAGCATGCGTGAGCGTGTTAGATAGGAGTGAATGGAGACAAATGGTATTTGGGACCTGACGATCTGTTGGAGTGTGAGCAGGGTAATATTTAGTGAAGGGATTCAGGGAAACCGGTTATTTTATATAACCGGACTTGAGTCCTGGAAATGGAAAGTACAATGCCTGCACTCTAAAGGAGGGGTTTGGGATATTGGCAGTTTGGAGAGATATACAGTATTGTGTATTTTTATATGTATATACTTCTAAGCTGTTGTATTCTGGGCACCTCTGCAAAAACAGTGATTATGTGTGAGTGAGGTGAAAGTGTTGAATGATGATGAAAGTATTTTCTTTTTGGGGATTTTCTTTCTCTTTGGGTCACCCTGCCTCGATGGGAGACGGCCGACTTGTTGAAAAAAAAACGTATATAATATATACGTACAGTATATCTTTTTTTCTTCTTTCAACACACTGGCCATTTACCACCGAGGCAGGGTGGCCTAAAAAGAAAACAAAAGTTCCTCTTTTTAAATTTAGTAATGTATACAGGAGAAGGGGTTACTAGCCCCTTGCTCCCGGCATTTTAGTCAACTCTTACAACACACATAGCTTACGGAGGAAGAATTCTGTTCCACTTCCCCATGGAGATAAGAGGAAAGAAGAATAACGATTAATAAGAAAATAGAAGAAAAACCAGAGGGGTGTGTATATATGCTTGTACATGCATGTGTAGTGTGGCCTAGGTGTAAGTAGAAGTAGCAAGACGTACCAGAAATCTTGCATGTTTACAAGACAGAAAAAAGATACCAGCAATCTTACCATCATGTAAAACAATTACAGGCCTTCATTTTACACTCAATTGGCAGGACT